ATTCTTTCCTTTGAAGCTCTGGGATACAAGATCATCATCCCTAGCCATTTCCTGGGATACAACATTGTTTTCTCAGTCTTTGTTGTAGAAGGTCCGGATAGTGTGTCTGCCTGGTCCACCATCTTGGATCCCCCAGCCTGATTTTCTTTTTCAAACTCTTTAGTATATCCATCATTTCTCTAATGAACAAGTATTACTTTGAAAATAAGGAAAAAATAATGTCAGGGTTTAAGCAACAAATTAAGTCACAGTTTTACTGAAGATAAATAGATACTGTTGTTGTTCATTGTAGTTAAGTCACTTCTAACTCATATTTATGCCATATGTTACAGAGTAGAACTGCTTCATAGAGTTTTCTTGGCTGTAATCTTAAGAGGCACAGATAGCCAGGACTTTCTTCCATGGTACTCCTGGGTGGATTCAAGATGCTAACCTTTAGATTAGTAGTCAAGCACAAACAGTTAGTGCTACCTACATTATCCCTGACACTTAGACTCAGAGTCACCCTCAAGATCACCAGATCATGGCATGGCCCAGGACCTGTCTTGCCCAAATTAAAGGCTGTTGTGAGGATAAAATGTCCTTAAATAGGGTATAAGCCTTTTGAAAAGTATCATTCCTCCATACCAGTAAGAAAGGAGGAGCTCTGGTGGCATAGTGCCTAAGGCATTTGACTACTAACCAGAAGACTGATGGTTCAAACTCACCAGCCACTCTGTGGAAGGAAGACTGGGCAATCTACTTCCATAAAGATTTACCACCTCAGAAACCCAATGGGGATTTCTCTGAGTCAGAATCAACTCAATGGCAGTAGGTTTGGTTTGGTTTAATTTTTTAAGAAAACAAACAAACTCACTGCCGTCGAGTCAATTTGACTCATAGCGACCCCTCCTTGGGGTCCAAAGACAGTATCTCTGTGGAAGTAGATTGCCCAGTCTTCCTTCCGAGGAGTGGCTGATGGGTTTGAACTGCCAGCCTTCTGGTGAGCAGACAAATGCCTTAGGCACTACACCACCAGAGCTCCTGGTGCTGCAATGATTAAGCACTCAGCTGCTAACTGAGAAGTCAGCAGTTCAAACCCTCGGTAGCTCCACAGGAGAAAAGACTCTGCTTGCATGAAGAGTACAACCTGGGAAACCATAATGGGTGGTTCTGATCTGTCTTATAGGGAGCTATTAGATGGAAGCAAGTGAACAGCACACATCAGCAACAGCAGTGAGGAAATAAATCCATCACATACAGCAATAGAACCAGGTTTCTAATACATGCCACATATATTACACTATAGGCTCTGGATGGTTTTGCTACTTGGCTTAATACAAAAACAAAACAAAGCACAAAAACCCAGAATAACAGATCTTAGGCCCAAAGCCAAGCATCAGATATTTCTATTCCAAATGTGCATCTTGGGAGGCTTTCAGCTAAGCAGTGGGATTTTACACCAGGTTAGAGCCAGAGCCCTCACGTCACTGTTTGTCAAAGTCATTACTCTCCAAAATGAGGGTGGTTGTGCAGTTTAAGAACAGGCATTTTTTTCCCCCAAAATAGCAAGAGGCCTGAGTTATTTCAGGGTCCAGATTAAATTCCATAAAATCTATCCCTAATTCTTCTATCCCATAAACTGCCTCCTTCAACATTTAATCATTTCATTTTGAGTTTTTAATTGTGTACTTTTGGGGATTCTCCATGCCCCTAATGGCTCAGAACCCTTCACTCATCAGTCCATCACCACCCAGCCTCTTGCTGACAGTGCTATACAATATGTACAGCAATGCAGCTCCCAGGGCTCAAAAACATTGAAAGAGCTTTACCAAAGGGATTGATGAATCCAGGTAAGATGCCAGCTGAATTTTCATTCAGAGTTAAAAATACCCAAAGTGCCTTTGATTATTTACTTTCTTTGCTTTTGCAGAAATATTAGGCACAGTATGAAAGCTCATATTTTTGGAAGAAAGGAAGAGAGGAGGCTGAAAATGATGTAAAAGGCAAAAACATAAATTAAAACCTGCAATAAGACTGAAAATTTGCCAGGCAGATTTTTGGTTTTAATTGTGTGTTTTTGGACTGAAGGCAGGGAAAGTGAAAATGTGTCAGTTAGTGTGAAGCGTGAAGACCAGGCTGTTACTCCATGGTCTGTGCATTTAGCGTCTTCCTCCTACCAGAAGAAATGTGATGATTTTGTGTTGCATTCCAATACAATCACCACTTATTGGGACATGGTGTTAGTTGCTGTTGAGTCAGTTCCGACTCCTGCTGACTTCATGTGCAGAGCAGAATTCCTCCATAGGGTTTTCAAGCCTGTGACCTTGCAGAAGCAGATCACCAAGCCTGATTTTGACATGCACTACATTCTGTATGCAGATAACAATGTTTTTCCTAATTCCGAGGAAATAGCTATGCTTTCTAATACTAATTAAGTATCAGAAAATCAGTACAGTCATGGCTAATGGGTTAGTGAATTAAAAAGATTAATGAATTAAAAAATCAACTTATGTAACAAGCCTACAATAAGTAAATACAAATTTCTACAAAGAAGTGAAAAGCATGCTATGAGATTAAGAGATATAAAAAATTACATTGTTCTAATTAAAGTAGAGTCTCAGGAGACTTTCTTATTTATTATTTATTTATTTGTTTGTTTATTTGTGATTTGGGTGAAGGTTTACAGAACAAATTTACTTTCCATACAGCGGTTCACATATACTTTGTCTCATGACATTGGCCCCAGTTTACCACAATGCAACAGCTCCCCTCCCACTTCCTCCCCATAGTTATCTCTTCCCTGTGTCCATCCCTCCATGCACTCCTGCCCCCTGAGCTGTCTCCCAGTGCATAAGCAGCCCTTCTTTCTCCCATGATTGTTCTCTCCAAGGAGAGTATCTACTTGAGGTAAATGTTCAACTCATATGCCTGTCTTTTGTTTGGGTGGAAACCACAGGTGTGGGTTCAATTCCAGACCTGAAGGGCAGCTAGGGGCCATAGTCTCAGGAGTCTTTCTTATAAATAAACTAGCCAGGACTCAATTTCATTATGTCTAGATTTGAATAAATGAAAATCTGACAAGAAAGACCCAGCAACTCATCTTGATTGATGTTTGTAGTCTCAGTGTCTTCAAAACAACAGACTGCTCATATTCCTGAGACTTTTTGTCTCTTGTAATGACAAAATGTTAAAGGCTGTTTTGTTTTTTCATATTACAAAACAGTTGAGCCAAGAGTTCAAGGTTTCTCATTCTTTCAAGGCTCCTTGCTACCCCAAAATTGTAATCTCTGGTTTTAACATAATTCAAGTCTAAATTAAAGAATTTAGAGCTTATATATTCATTTTTTACTTATTTTTAAAGTTCTACATTGTTCTCACTTAGGTGGTAGGATGATTGTGTTTTGCACATAGGAAGAACATGAATGGGAGTGGGGAGGCCAAAGGGTAGAATTTTATGGATTGAATTGTGTCCTCCCAAAATATTTGTTAAATCCTAACCCCTTTATTTGTGGATATAATCTAGTACAAATTAATTACCTTGCATCTACTGTAATTCTATAATGTAATGTAATTACTCTCTATAATGCAATTTCATGTAATGAAGTCATACCAGTGTAATATGGATTCTGAAGCTAATCATTCTGAGTTATGTAAAGAGCAGCACAGACATAGAGACACACATGCATACAAGAAGAAGAAGACAGATGTGCTTCCAAGGATTGCTGCCAGCTACTAGGAGCCGCAATAGACAAGGAAGGCTCTCCCCCTACGGCCACACTCTGAGTTCGGACTTCTGGCTTCTGGAACTGTGAGAAAAGTAAATGTCTGTTCTTGAAAGCCATCCACTTGTGATATTTGTGTTACAGCGGCATTAGGAAACTAAGACAGCTTCTGAGTAAACATAGGGCTCATTTTGATGTGTCAACAGAAATGGGACCCAGAGGAATACCCTAGAGGACATACCTGTCCAAGGGCAGGGCACTTAGTGGGTCTCTGTATTCGTTTTGTTTTGCTGCAGAACAAATTGTTACAAACTTAGCAGCTTAAACCAATATCCACTGACGATCTCACAGTTTTATAGGTCAGAAGTCTTGGTGGGTAACTGAGTTCTCTTCTTAGGGTCTCACAAGGCTGAAATCAAGGTGTCAGCAGAGCTCTGTTGTCATGTAGATCTTGGAAGAATCTACTTCCAAGCTCATTCAGTCACTCAAAGATTGGATGTAGTTGCCTCTTGTCCTGAAGTTGTTTCTTGGCCTGAAGCAAGAACAACCTACCTTCTCCCTAGGTCATCAAAGCCCTCTTGTGAGCCTAAGACTGCGTCTTGTTGTTAGGTGTCACCAAGTCAGTTCTGACTCATAGCACCCCCCCAGTATAACAAAATGCTGCCGAGTCCTGCACCATCCCAATTGTTTCTGTGTTTAAGCCCATTGTTGCAACCACTGTGTCAGTCTATCTCAATGAGTCTTTCTTTTTTTCATTGACCCTCTGTTTTAACAAGCATCAGGGACTGGTCCCTTCTGATAACATGCCCAAAGTAGGTCTCACCATACTCACTTCTAAGGAGCATTCTGGCTGTACTTTTTTCAAGACATACTTGTTCATTCTTCTGGTAATCCATGGTATATTAAATATTCTTCACCAGTACCAGAATTCAAAGGTGTCAATTCTTTGCTCTTCCATATTTATTGTCCAGTTTCATATGCATATGAGATTATTGAAAATACCAGGGCTTGAGTCAGGCACACCTTAGTCCTCAAAATGACATCTTTTCTTTTTAACACTTTAAAGAGGTCTTTTGCAGGTTTGCCCAATGCAATATGTCATCTGATTTCTTGACTGCTACTTCCATGAGCATCTCCTATGAATTCACTCCATGGATACCTAGGTGCCATGTGCAGGAAAAGTTGCACTGTGTGATAGCCAAATGACACATTGCAGCATGGTCGTGTGTTCTGGCTTCTGCAGCTGACTGAGTGTCTGCAGTGAAGATCACACCTGTGTTTCATGTTTTATTCCAGAGGCAGAGGGAAATGACCATGAAGTCACTGCTGAGGGCATTGGTGAGCATGCCTCCCCACTACCGCTGCCTTTGCATCAGCCACTTCATTGGATGGACAGCCTTTCTGTCCAACATGCTCTTCTTCACAGATTTCATGGGACAGGTAACACACACTTCTGTGTACACACTCATTGGCTTGCACACTGATCCCTCAATCAGCACATATGAAGTTTCTTCTGGGTTAGCTTCTAGGATGGGCATAGTAAGAGTGGAGGAAAGCACATCCTTAAGGAACTACAGCTTCTGGAAGCAAAATGACAACATTTTGGACTAGAGGACATTATGAAGCCCACAAGTACTTGATCAAATACAACAAATAGTGAAAAATTAATGTGAGCTATAGCAGTTATGGTAACAAGCTTACTAAAACAAGTGCAGTATGGTATGGATCTTGAAGGGTTTGTAGGAGTCAGAGAGAGAGAGGAGATGAAGGAAACTTTCCAAGCAGGAACAGAAATAGAGTGTGTTAAGAGAAGTCAGAAGCCTGTTGGCTGTAATAGAAGATGGGCAGCAGCGTTGCTGAAATTAGGTAGGGCCAGATGTTAGATGGATGGAGGGGTGGTAAAGAGTTAAAGAAATATTGTTTAGACTTGGTGCAGCAGGCATGGTATCTTACTGAAGATTCTTGAACAGAAGTGTGGTAGGATAGAAATGATTACTTTATCATGGAGGAATGAGCTCTGTGCCCTAAGGAAGGTCCATCATGCAGCGACATGCTGCTCCTGAGGAATAGAGAAACAGAGCATATGAGAAGGGATCCAGACTGCACAGCAGCTGTAGCTCAACAGCTCCAACTCTCTCTTTCAGATTGTGTACCGTGGGAATCCCTATGGTGCACACAACTCCACAGAGTTTCTCATCTACGAAAGAGGGGTCGAGGCTGGATGTTGGGGCTTGTGCATCAACTCCATGTTTTCCTCAGTTTATTCTTGTAAGTCTTCCACTCCTAAGCATGTCTTCCAAAGGGCTCTGTCTGGCGAGTCTTGGATTTTATATTTCTATGTTTGTTTTCTACTCATTAAAATAGAAGAGTCTTGATAAATATAGGGAGGCCAGGAAAAGTTATTTCCTAAGAAAAGACTACATGAAGAATCCTTTTATCATTTTTAGAGAATTCTAGGTCTCAGTGATTACTTTGCCCTTGGAATCAATGGATTTCTGATCAAAATTCTCTGGAAACTAAAAAGAAATCTGATAAAAAGGACAGTGAAGTGTAATGATGAAGGTAGGACAAGGGACAGATTCCCAGCAGGGAGCATTGAATAACAGCAGATCTGTGTTTAGCTGAAGCCTTATCACCAGTGGGGTTTTATAGATAAACTTACCAGATTTGCAAATGATACAAAATAGGAGGGATGGTTAATATATCAAGAGATAAAATAAATATATAAAATAATCTTAGCTCAGGTAGACAGAGTGGTATGTTTCAAAATCATAGTCCCAGGATTGAAAATTCCAGGAGGAATATTTCAAATGCTTAAAATATAATTGGAGATCTCTAAGGTAGAAGGATCTACTAAATGATACACATCTCAATCCCTTTGTGTTTTTAAGAGGAAGAGCTAAATACTACTACCCTCATGGTTGTAAGAGGGATACTTTTTTTTTTGTTAGTTTGCACAAATAGTTGGCATTTTAATTTTGCATCAATTTTAACTTTTTCCTTTTCCTCAAAGAATCCTTATTAGGTAACACTCTGTTAACCTAGTTAGAGTTCCTGAATGAATTTCATGACATTTGAAAATTGAAAAGCATGCTATTTTTCAGGCTATTTCTAGTTAAAACCCCTGAACACAAAATAAACTATTATTTGACTAGTTGTACTAATATATAACTCTATCAGGTCGCTAACACTGTGAATTACCATTAGAATATTGGTATTTCTAAAATACCAACCAGCCCTGCTTAATAATTTTCAGAGGCTCCCTGTGGCTTACCCAGTAAAGTCAAACTCCTGAGCTTGGCATTGAAGACTTTTCACAGTTAGGACCACACCTTGATCTCTCCTATTCCCACACAGAGTAGCCACCCCTGATGACCCACTGTACAGACTTTCTCACTTCTGTGCATTTCCTATTGCTTGTGGTTTTTTTCTACCTGAGCTGCACTTTCTACTTCCTAACCCAGACAACTTCTAATCATGCTTTTAGACCCAGCTCAAATATCACTTCTTTGGTTAAATCTTCTAGTCTTTCGCTATGAAACCTAATGCTACCCTAGACAGAATCAATAATTTCTTTCAATTCCAGAGCAGAATCAATATATTTTTTTTTGTAGATTCATAACATAACTTCTGGTGCAGACCCAGTATTTCTGTCTAGATGAAGCTTGGTGACCTTTCTGGGGTATGGTGATAGGGACTTGTTTCAAGCTTCTTTTTACAGCAAGCACATGTAAATCAATAAGAATAGCAATACTGCATACTACAATAAAGCCATTTTTTTCCCATATCAAACATGATTATTCATAGCTGGTACTGGAACTAACCATTTTCTGCTAATCTTTAGGAGAAGTAAAGTGAGATGATATGATCGACATGGGGTATCAGACCCATTAGTCGGCAAGTTGGATTTGATCCTTAAATTTATTGATTTTTATTCATGAATGAAGCATTCTTTGCTAGACTTTCAGTGTCTGTGCTGAAGTTACTTATGTTCCCAAATATTTATCCAAATATCCTTCTGTCTCTTCTCTTCAACTAGCCTATACACTTGGATAAGAAAATTTCTCTAATGAACATAGACGGTATCTTTTAGGTTCTAAGACACCTTCAATTACATTTCTGCACAATATAATCATTAAGCAAATAGAAACTGACCTAGCCTTGTACTGTTTTCATTCTCAGCCTTGACAACAGCCCTTCAGGCATGATATAAATTTAATAGAGGAAGCACTGTTGCCAGCTTGTCATTTCCAGAGCTCTGTCTTCCATCTGAATGACTTGAGACAATGTTTAGTTTCATAATTGATTCAATGTAATGCAAATTTGTTTCTTGTCTACATGGTGTAAGCACAATAATTATTTGGGTAGATAGGGAAAATTTTGTTCCTGAGTATGGACATTTCTTTTATCCCTGGGTTCATGTGTTCCAGAAGGATGGGGTAGAAGAGAGGTAAGGAATGCATGGACTGAAAAAGGAAAATAAGAGTTTTCTACGGATTTTCCTTACCATTGGGGAAAATATCATGGAAAGTTTTAAAACAGATTTTTTTTTTTTTTTTTAATTAGCTCTACCACAATACTTCTGTGAGCAAGCCAAGTTTGTCTGCTGGGAGGGACACCAAGTTAAGAGTCACCACAGCTTGTATTCACTGAAATAGCAATAGGTAGGTAGATAGATGATTCATACCTACATACATAGGTAGATAGATAGATGGCTGCCATCAAGTCAACACTGCCATCAACCTTATGTATGACAGAATGAAATGCTGCCCGGTCCCAAATCAGTCTCACAATTGCTGGCATATTGGAATCCACCATAGTAGCCATGGTGCCAATCCATCTCATTAAGTATCTCCTTCAGTCTAGCTGGCCCTCTGCTTCCCCAAACATGACATCCTCCTCCAGGGATTGATAGCTCATGATGACATGTCAAAAGCAAGTGAGTCAGACAATGTTCTGTTGTAGTCCATAGATTTTCATTGGCTAATTTTTGGAAGTAGATCACTAAGCCTTTCTTTTTAGTCTGTCTTAGTCTGGAAGCTCCACAGAAACCTGTCCACCATCAGTGACCCTGCTGCTATTTGAAATACTCATAGCATAACTTCCAGCATCATAGTAACATGCAAGCCACCACAGTGTACAACATACTGACAGATGGTTGGTGGGAAATAGCAACACCAAAAAACCCACTGCCATCAAGTTGATTCCAACTCATGGTGACCCACATTGGGTTTCCAAGGCAGTAAATCTTTATGGAAGTAGATTGCTCCATCTTCCTCCTGAGGAGTGGATGGTGGTTCAAACCCACCAGCCTTCTGGTTAGCAGTCAAACACCTTAGGCACTGTACCACCAGAGCTCCCGGAAATAGCAATACCAAAACCAAACTCTGCCACTGAGTTGATTGGACTCATAATGACCCCTCCTGGGTTTCTGAGGCGCTTTCTCTATAGAAGTATATTGCCCAATCTTCCTTCACAGGAGTGGCTAATGGGTTTGAACTCCCAGCCTTCTGGTTAGCAGTCAAATGCCTTAGCCACTACACCACCAGAATGCTGTTGTTACGTGCTGTCGAGACAGCCCCGACTCATAGTGACCCCTCCTTGGGTTTCTGAGGTAGTATCACTACCGAAGTAGATTGCCCCATCTTCCATCCAAGGAGTGGCTGGTGGGTTTGAACCGCCAGTCTTCTGGTTAGCAGTCAAGTGCCTTAGGCACTACGCTACCAGAGCTCCCGGTGTCTTCTATGTGACATATACTCAGTGGGGTTATTTACAGATACTTAATCTCATTTAATGCTGACAACAACCTAAGAGAAAGGCTTATATATTATTCCTGTTTTTCAGATGAGGATGCTGAGGTTTTGAGAAATTAAGAAACATGCCCACAGAGTGAGGGAGCCCATGATGGGAGGTGCTGAGTGTTATACTAGCCTCTAATAAGCTTGCAAAGGGCTGACAAGATAGAGAAAGTGTCTGCAGATAATCTCCCACCCTTTACCTCCTTCTCTGGCATTCATACTGTTCAGATGAGGGCTAAGAAACATGGATGATTTGGATCCTTCTAAAAAATCTGGCTTTTTGAATTTTCCCCAACTTGACTTTAGATCGTGGGGCCAATGGCAGGTTTGTACAGATATCCGTTGCTTTTCGAATGTTCTCTTTACACCACTTAGCTTTTATGAACGATGTACATTAGTACTGGTTTTTGCTAACCAAAAAGAGACCCGAAAAGGATTTTCACTTCTGTGGAAAAGAGGTGAAAAGTGAAACGACTTTTCTTTCCTCTGTTAAAGACACAGCGCACAGCCCACGAGCAGGGTGAGGGTGAGTGGAGTAGCTAGAGTGGCGTCACCAAGCTCCTCTCCCAGAATCTATACTCAGCGTCTAAGCATCTCAGCATGAAGCCACCGTAGCTTTGAGCCATGTCTCTGTACACTATATGTTAGTGTTATTTTAGGTTTTAGGGTCATAGGTATGATTTGGTCGGTTATTTTGGGGGTCAAGAATTTTTTTCCTATATAAATGAATGGTAATTGATTCTTGATTTATGCCATTTTGGCTTAAGACAAGTTTTGATAGGGACACTCTACTTTCAGATACCGGGGAAAACTTGTATTGGAATCTGGGTCCGATTAGGCTGGGCTCTTTTGACTCAGAATTTTTAAAAAAAAAGAAAAGAAAAACCTATTTGCCATCGTTTTGGCTCTGCCTCATGGTGACCCCATGGCCGTCAGAGTAGAACTGTGCTCCATGCAGTGTTCAGTGTCTGATTTTTGGAAGTCGATTGCCAGAATTTTCTTCCAAGGCACCTGTGGGTGGACTCGAACCTCCAACCTTTCAGTGAGCAGTCAAGTGAGTTAACCGTCCTCACCACCCAGGGATTCCTCTGAACCAAAATAACCCACATGTTGTTCCTCACATCTTGCAACCCTGGTGTTGCATGGCCAAGGCGAGCTTTTCCACCTGCTCTTCTGCATCCTGTTGCTATTCAGCTGCCTGCTAAACAGTGCCTGGTTCTTTTCTGTGAAAAAGAAAATCAACCAAGGAAGGCAATTTCCATTTTAAATCATTTATGCAAAGGATTGAAAATCCTTTATGCAAAGGATTGAAAATCCTTTATGCAAAGGATTTAAAAATGATTCCAAAGCCAGCTGTTTCTCGCACAGATAAGGTTACTCTTTTGTTCCTGACTTAGTACCAAAGGAAGTCTCCAAAAGTGCATCTCAAAAAAAAGGATTGTCTGAAGTGATGAAGTGTTCTGAGGCACTGCCAGCTGTAATTTTGCCCATTCTTCTCTTTACAGACTTCCAGAAAGTGTTGGTCTCCTACGTGGGATTAAAAGGTCTTTACTTCATGGGGTATCTGCTATTTGGCCTGGGGACAGGACTCATCGGGCTCTTCCCAAATGTCTACTCCACGCTGGTCCTGTGCACCATGTTTGGCATCATGTCTAGCACCCTGTACACTGTGCCTTTTAACCTCATTGCCGAGTACCACCGTGAGGAGGAGGAGGAGGACAAGGAGGAAGAGGTGCGTTTATGAACCTCTGCTCTGGGTAATGTCTGGACTCACTGGAAGGCTGGAGTAGTGAGGGAGAATTGGTAGAAAGTACATAGTGGAGCTGGGAGAGAAGGGCACTGACATTCCCAACTGATTGTCAGCATGGTCTGGGGAAGATGTGACCAGCATCTACTTCATCCCTCTCCTCTTACTTACTCCACCTCTGTTCTTATGATTGACATCCCTGGATGACATAAATTGTTAACTGTTCAGCTGCTAATTGAAAGGTTGATAGTTTGAACTCATTCAGAGGCACCTTGGAAGAAACATTTGACAATTTTCTGTTGAAAGATCACAGGCTCCAAAACCCTGTGGAGCAGTTCTCTGTGCACGTGGAGCTGCCATGAGTTGGAACTGACTTGGTGGCAACTGGTTTGGTTTTCTTTTGTGTGTGTATCCAGTGAGTAGTAGGGTGAGTACGGGGCATGCCATTTGTTTGATTAGGAAGAAAAGGCTTGGAAATGATGAGAAACCTGAACATAATCGTACTTAGACAAAGAAAGGGTAACCAGGTTTTCTGACAACAGATCTACCAAAATCAAAATAAAAAATCTATGGCTGTTGGGTTGATTCTGACTCATAGTGACCCTATAGGACAGAGTAGAACTGCTCCATATGGTTTCCAAGGCTGTAATCTCACCTAAGGCACTTGACTGCTAACCAGAAGGCTGGCGGTTCAAACCCACCAGCCACTCTTCGGAAGGAAGATGGGGCAATCTACTTTCGTAGTGATACTGCCTCAGAAACCCAAGGAGGGGTCGATGAGTCAGGTCCGACTCGACGGCACATAACAGCAACAACAATCTTTGCAGAAGCACACTGACACACTTTTCTCCCATGGAGCAGCTGGTGGATTTGAACCACTGACCTTTTCATTAGCAGCTGAGTACTTAACAACTGTGCCACCAGGGCTCCTCAACTGATCTAAAGGCCCTCCTAATGCACTTGCATCTTGAAGGGAGCTCTGGTTGGCACAGTGCCTAAGGCATTTATTTGATTGCTAACCAGAAGTTTGGTGGTTCAGACACACCAGCTGCTTCATGAGAAGAAGATGAGGCAATCTACTTCCATAAAGACTTACTGCCATGGGAACCCAATGGGGGTTGCTATGAGTCAGAATCCATTCGAAGCTGTGGGTTTCATTTTGGTTTAATGCAGCTGCAGCTTTTCTGGACACTAACAGTGAGGGTCTTCCAGCCCAACTACACAAGGAAGCCCTATGGGATTGCTAGGAGTTATTGGTTTAGAGGTGAGGATGGAGAGGAGACTTTGTCTCATGTACTTTTGGACATGCTATCAGGAGGGCCCAGTCCCTGGAGAGGGACAACATGCTTGGTGGAGGGTCAGCAAAAAAGAGGAAGACACTCAACAGGATCGACTGACATAGTGGCTGCAACAACAGGCTCAAACATAGCAATGACTGGGAGGATGGACCAGGCCCAGGCAATGTTTAGTTCTGTTGTACACAGGGTGCTGTGAGTTGGAATCAACTTGATGGCAATGGCATTGGTTGAGGGGGTTCTGGTTCCCTAGTGCCGCTCTGACAAGAATATACCACAATTGGGATGGCCTTAACAAACAGCAGTTTATTCTCTTACAGTTTGTAGGCTTTACGTCCAAGTTCAAAGTGCCAGGCTCTAGGGGCTGGGTGAAAACCCCTCAGCCTTGGGCTTCAGTTCTGCCTCCAGCTCCCGGCCCACTGGAGCTAGAGGCTTTTCTTCACTCAGACAGCTGCTGGCTGCTGAGGCTGCCAAGCCTAAGGTTGACAAATAACAAGGCACAGTCCTGATATTACCAAATCACACAGCAGGCCATTAATTCAAGTCCATTAATTCAAGTCCATTGTAAGTCCCAAGGTCAGCAGAGCATGGCAGGCTGCTGAACAATGACATGGCTACATGCAGGGTTCAAAGTGCCATAAGCTAGAGAACATTCCCCAAGGCTTCTGCTTATATACAGGAAGCAGACCACATTCCCTAAGGCAGCTACTCAGCTGCTCCCAGTAGATTCCACCACGGAGTTGATTACCAGTCTCATCATGGGGAATACTACATCCAGCTGCCCAGCCATTCAACCAGGCCCAGCCAAGTTGACACACAAACTGAACTACCACAGAGGGTAAGGAATTCTTTGGCAATACTTTCTTGGAAGTCCAAGTTTTAGGAAGTCAGACCCTATGTGCTGATAAGAGGAAGCAGAGAGGGAAGCTGGCTCATGGGTGGTCATTCCCACTGGACTGCAACATAGGGGCCTGTCCCATCTATGTCTTAGAATTCTGACTCCAAAGCAAAATCCTAGGAGTTTTTATAAGAACACAAACTTGGGTACTTCTGTTCTTCAATGACCACCTCTTCTTATCAAAATATGTAACCTTTTTCTCATGAAAATAGGCTCACACTTCCTTAACTGGAACAGTAATATAAAAGCTAACATGATAAAATTCACAACCATATAACACAGGTCCAAGTGATGGTAGTTCCGGCCATCCTACCCACCATTTGATCTGGCAAAAACAACAGGGCAGAGATGCACAAGGTAATAAAACCTTGCAACAAGAATTGTGACTGTTCCTGTCCCCAGCAAACATTATAGTTAATGTTTCAATGGATGACAAGGGTTTTGCTGTTAAAGAGCTAGTTTATCAGGAAGAACTGTACCTCCAAGAGAGAGTGATAAGGTACTGTGGTAAATACACATAAGCTTTGGATTTAGGCAAACCTGGATTCAAATCCTTCCTCCTTCACTTCACAGCTGTGTGACACTGGGCATGTCATTTCCTTCTTAAATATTGTTTAACTGTTCACTTCATTTTTAGAGGTAATACATTCATATGGCTCAACTATCACAATGACGTGGAAAGTGTGCATTGAGCAATGGCTCCCACCCCTCCCTCTGCACTCTTTTCTTACTACTCCCTCCTTGTATGGGTAAATATGCTTATTGATTTATCATTCCAATGTTTTTAATACAAATCAAGCAAATATGAATCTATTTTCCTCTTTCTTAACCAAAGGATAATATGCACTGTTCTGCCCTGTTTTGTTTTTAACTTAGTGGCATAGGAAACATCATTCAAACTCTTAAAGCCCTAATTTAGCCATCAGCTAAATGGGAAAAATAATACTCACCTTATAGGTTCATAAGGAGCTCTCATGTTGTGGTGGCTAACTGCTGGGCTGCTAACTGAAAGGTCATTGGTTCAAACCCACCAGCCACTCTGTGGGAGAAAGATGAGGCAGTCTGCTTCCATAAAGATGTATAGCCTGAGAAACTCTAAGGGGCAGTTCTGCCCTATCCTCCAGGGTCACTGTGAGTTGGAATTGACTCAGTGGCAATGGGGTGGGTATAGGTTTGTAGGAAAACTAAAGTAATAGAGATAGTATAGCTTGATATTGAGGATGCTTGAATTGCTTTTGTTATGTTGCTTCTTTTAAGTATATCTGTGACTCAGCATTCTTCTAAGAATATTTGAAATTTTAGGATGAAAGAACAGAAGTGGGGTTATTTATTGAGTTTCTACCATAGTGTTTTTATTGACCTCAATGGTTAAGTACTTGGCTGCTAACTGAAAGGTTGACGGTTTAAACCCGCCTAGCATTCTGTAGGAAAAAGACCTTGCAATCTGCTCCTGTAAAGATTACTGTTGTTGTGTACCATCGAGTAGGACCCGACTCATAGTGACCCCTCCTTGGGTTTCCGAGGCAGTATTACTACGGAAGTAGATTGCCCGATCTTCCTTCTGAGGAGTGGCTGGTGGTTCAAACTTCTGGTTAGCAGTCAAGCACCTTAGGCACTAGGCTACCAGAGCTCCTGTAAAGATTACAGCCTAGGAAATGCTATGGGGCAAGTCTACTCTGTCATATGGAGTCCCTGTGAGTCAGAATCGACGTGACAGCCCACTACACCAGGGAGAGGGAGTGGAAGAAAGGTATAATGATCTTCTTCTGTAAAGATTGCTGCCCAGAAAATCTTGTGGAGCAGCTTTACGGTGTAACCCATGAGGTCACCACGAACTGTCATCAACTCAACAGCAGCAGGTCTGCCTGGGCTTTGGGTTAGGGAGAGAGAATTTTGCATATATTAACCGTTTAACCCTCATGAGCGAATGTGGAATTTAAGATTTCATGGCCAGTAAGAAGACAATCATAGGCAGGAGGATGGAAGTTCCTGATCAGTGGCCAGCAAATTATGTATGACCTGTGGGTCACATATGGCTGGCCACCTGGTTTTGTATCAGCCATGGGCTAAGTATTACTTTCAAAATTTTAACTGGTTGAAAAATTCACCTGGATAATATTTTGTGATAAGTGAAAATTACCCCAAATTCAAACTTCATTGTCCATAAACAAAACCATGCCAATTTGTTTATATATTGTTATAACTGCTTTTATACACAAGGGCAAAGTTAAAAAAAAAAAAAAATTCACTGCCATCAAGTGGATTCCAACACACAGAGACCCCTTTTGGGTTTTGGAGGTGGTAAATCTTTACGGAAATAGATTTCCCATTCTTTTGGCAAATTTCAGTACAGGTAATCCTGACTTAACAATGTTTTTGGGTTAGATGAACTTCATTTAGACTTTCTGTCTAAGGTTTTTTTGTTTTTATTATTAGTAATATATGCTACATTGTTGTTGTTATGTGCCATTGTGTCAGTCCTAACTTATAGCGACCCGTCCTTGGGTTCCGAGGCAGTATCACTACCGAAGTAGATTGCCCAACCTTCCTTCCCAGGAGTGGCTGGTGGGTTTGAACCGCCAGCCTTCTGGGTAGCAGTCAGGTGCCTTAGGCACTATGCTATCAGAGCTCCCAATATATGCTACATACAATGTTAAAATATATCTGTAAATTTATACATGATGTTTTCCCCAAAGACAAAGATAAGATTTACAAAGATACTACTAACAAAAAACAATAATATTAAAAACTAAAAGAAAAAAAATGAGATATTGGACTTGCATCAGACCCAATTTACTACGGAGCTGTCAGAACAGAACCTTGACGTAAGCTGGGACTACATATAGTTGTCACAGAGACCATATGACACCCAAAGCTGAAAATCTTTGCTATCTGGCACTTTACAGAGCAAGTTTGCCGACGCCTGGCCTAGAGGCCGGTTTCACGTACACCCAACGGCGTTCCTGTGCTTCCCTTGCAGAGGCGGCAGACCTCGAGCAGGCACCCAGACAGCAGCGGGAGAGGCAAGGGCGCGGACTGTGCTGCCCTCACCAGCATGGTGCAGCTGGCTCAGATCCTGGTCGGAAGTGGCCTGGGCTTTCTGGTCAACGCGGCTGGAAGCGTCGTTGTCGTGGTGATCACCTCCTCTGCGGTGGCACTGATCGGCTGTTGCTTTGTGGCTCTCTTTGTGAGATATGTGGATTGAGTTAATAAAGAGACATTGACCTTAACCTCAGACACAGTGAAGCACATGTCAGTCAGGAAAGCAGACTTTTGTGTAGCTTTGCATTGTTTTCATCTGCCCATTAGATATTCCTCTGCCCACTCCTCACTTTCAGCCAGTCTTCTACCCAATGATCCCTGTAATTCAGGCATCTTTTGTCTTGCACAAGCCTACACAATGCCTGCATCACTGGTGGCAAAGGGTATGTGTGCTTGGTACCATCTACACACACCTTCCTCATTGCATCTTACTGTAGGGGAATCAGGAGACAGCATCTGTTTTCCACAGGACACTTCAGGGCTGAGGGGCAGGCTAATTCTACCTGTGTGCTTGGGTTTCTTCTATGACATGATCCCCACCCCCAGCCTGGAATCCATGTATGGTCTAGAGGCCATATTCTTCATCAAATTCACTAGAACTCCAAATATTGCTGTTTTATGATATCTCCAACAAGTCTGGTTGAACATCTTCACATGTTACTTCTGTGTTACTTCCAAACAGCTCATTTCATTGACACACAGTGGAAATCTTTTTTTCTAGCCTGTGACCCTTGTTCCATCTCCTGGAGTCATGAGAGTTTTGCAAAAACAGCCTTCCCTTTTCTCCTATGAACAGCTTTTTTTCAAGCTTTGCATTTTTTCCTCTAGCCATATCCTTCCAACATCTTCTCCCAAGGGGAAGATTTTAGCAGCCTCAAGAGAGCATGGCTTCAAAATCATGGACTTTTGAGTCAGGTTGGTTCTGAATCCTGACATGATCATTTCCAGCAAACAGTTTAACCTTTCCAAGCCTCATTTGCTCATCTTTGCAAATGGGATGAAAATTTCCACCTCAGAGGGTTGCGACGATTAGCAATACATGGCACTTACGGAGTGCTTGCCACTATCTGTATTTTTTTTTTTAATTAATATTTTATTGTGTTTTTGATGAAGGTTTACAGAGTAGTTGAGGTTCCCATTCAACAATTCCTACACAAATTGTTCAGTGATATCAATTACATTCTTCACAATGTGTGAACATTCTCAGTATTTCCATTCTGGTTGTTCTGTTTCCATTCATCTAACTTCCCTGCCCTCTTTTATTCTGATCTTTGTTTTATGGTAATTATTGACCATTTGGTTTCATATAGATGATTTTTTAAAGAGCACAGTACTCATGGATGATATTCTTCATTTGTGAGTCAATCTATTATTTAGCTCCTAGGTCACCTCAGAGGCTTGTTTCACTTCAAGAGTATCTCAGGGCAGTAGTCTTGGGGAGTTCTCCAGTTTTAACCAGTTCAATAATGCTGTTTTCTTTATTGTTGTTGTAATTGTTTTTAGAATTTAAGGTTCTGTTCCACATTTTTCCCCCATTCTTTCTATTGGGTCCCATTCTATCTGTTGGGTTCCAGAGTCTGTCTATTGTGGCCTTGATCAGAAGTGTCAGTAGTGGGAGCCAGGCACCATCTAATTCTTCTGGTCGCAGGGTAGATGAGGGCATGGTTTGTGTAGACTATTAGTCCTGTAGACTAGTTTATTCCTTGAGCCTTTGGTTTCGTCTACTGCCTACCACTATTCTAAATGGTTTACCTGTGGTAACACAGAAACCTCAGGCATGAGTGCTATTACTCATCTCCATTTTGTAGATGAGGAAACAAAGAACAAGAGGGACTACATAATTCATCTGAAGCTACACAGTTCTGGGCTTTGAACCCTGGCACTCTGGTTCCCTGACTCTGTATGGGTAGCACTTAGCCTAGTGGCTGGCACTTGGCCTGTGCTTGATAGCTAATGTCACGATTGTTAGATGCTCATCACCCTGTGCCCTCCAGTCCTTAGGGATTTGCCTGCACTCCTCAGAATGTGGTCTAACTAGGGTAGAATGGAGATTTGCCCACATATTTTTATAGGTCAAAACATTTACATGGTTCCTTCTCTTGCCTCATCTTTTGAGTATGGTAATGTAGTCATTACCTCAGTGAATTTCCATCTTACCGAAAGGTCTGGTGCTGGAAGAGAACTTGGGGAAAGGAAATGAGTTGCCTTTGAGAACTGAAGCATTTGGGATTTGAGGTGTTACTCTTGTTTACCTTGTACTTAGTAGAATGGATGGGCCCAGTAGCAAGGCTAAACCCTGCTCATCGGGGCAGTGGTCCTGAGAAGAGGAAGGATGCTCTGGTTCTTGGGAAGGCACTACATCCTCTTTCACAAAACTTGTGGGTAAGGAGAATAGACCCGCTCCTCACAGAGAGACCCACAGTCCACAGACCATCCCCCAACCCACCTGGGCCCACTCTTAGCTCTGTCAACGTCTTTGTGTGCCTCATTTTGGTGTAGGGATCATAAACTACATCCACCCCTCCACCCTCCACCATGCCTGCAAATAGCCACCCTTAGCCAGCCCTTAGACCTGTATGCACAGACTCGGGAGAGCAATCTGACCTCTGGAGGATGGACTTGGGAAGAGACCCAAGAAGCTCTCTTTAGATGGGGAATTCTGAGATCCTAGGTAATGCAGAAGGTGGAGGGGTGCTGCAGGTGCTCCAGGTGGCCCTGTGGATCGCTTGCCATGTGAGGAGGGGTAGAGCTGGAGGGAGAAAAGAGCGGGGTCCTCTACTGGTTAAACACAAGATAACGGCCTTGGCTGCCTGGGTCCCAGGGCAGTCACCAAGACTACCAGCCCAAGAATGGATTTATTGTCTTCTTCGATGCAGTCTCCCTCACCTTCCTGGCATCTCCAGTGGTAAGAAGAAGCCAGCTTCCTGTTCACTCACATGCATTCTTTATCTCCTGCTCCTGCTTGGGCTCCCAGGTTGCTGCTGTAATTCTCCCGATTGCCTCCTTTTTGTTCAAAGCCCGCTCTCTGCTGCTCTCTGGTTATCTGTGGCTGAGGTAATGCTAGGGGTGTGGGGTGGGGCATCCTGGGCACCCCTGTGGCTCCAGCTCCTTCTGGTTTGCATATTGTGGTGGGATGTGGTGGGGGCTGCGGGAAGGCAGAGGGCTTACACTGAAGTCTCACTCCTTCCTGCCCACTGCTCACTCTCGCCACCTGCCGGGCACACAGGTTCCTCATTCAGCACTCAGCATTCCAGCCTCCTCACATTTTGGGCACTCTGGTGCTTTCCAGACCAGCCTGGGCTGATTACTCAGTTGCGGGTGTGCTTTTGTTTCACTTGTCAGCCTCTGAGCCTTGCTCCCCTCCTCTGAGTGCCTATCCTCCTTCCAGTCTCCCTGCACTCCAGTAGTATGTTGTTGTTGTTGTTATGTGCCGTCGAGTCAGCCCTGACTCATAGCGACCCCTCCTTGGGTTTCCGAGGCAGTATCACTACGGAAGTAGGATTGCCCAACCTTCCTTCCGAGGAGTGGCTGGTGGGTTTGAACCACCAGCCTGCCCCCAGTAGTATAGTCACTCGCAAATGATACCATCTCATTCTTTTTGAAGGACAGATGTAAAACTTCTCCTCTCTCCTCTAGTTTCCCTTCCTCCTTCTCCTCCCATCAATGCTACTGCCTAGTGATAGAGGTGAGGTCATGACTAGAGGAGTGGCAAGAGAAAACACCTGCTCCCAACCCCACAGAGACATGAGCAAATGCTCAGAGGCCCCCTGTGACACAGCACTCAGCATTATAAGGCAAACATCACCAGCCACCTCTCTTGTTTCACCAACCTGTCCTTGGTCTTTGTAAAGTTTAGGAATGGAACTTTCTGCATATCTCCATGTTTATCTCCTGACCATTTCTCCAAGGACAGCTCTGGTGTTTGAGGATGTTGAAATGAATGGATGGAATGAATAGTGATGCACAGCTGAGGGGCATCTGACCTGAACCCTCAATAAGTCAAAAGAAGTCATGTCTGCTTAGCTGTAGGGCATGGTCTTTATTATAAGTGAAGTATTTTCAGATGGAACATTGAATGGGCTACTGCTGGAGCTCCAGCCCACGTGCTCTCTGACACACACACACACACACACACACACATTCTACCCATTTAACTCCATCAAAGTTTGAATCAGTAGATAGAATCCAATTTAAAAAGCATTTAACCGCTTTTGGGACAGCAAATACTTGTTCTCAATATACCAATGACATGTTCTTCTCTGGGGAAAAATTGCTTACTTCTCGGTAAATAAAACCAATGCAAGGACACCGAAATTCTTAATAGAAATCCCGAGAAAACTCAAGTGCCTGGACAGCATGCAGGAGAAAGGGGAGCCACCCTGCTTTGCTTCTTTCTTTCCCCACCATGTTCCTGACATTCCCACCTCAAAGCCATCACAGTTCCTTGGCTTCAAACATCCTCTCTACCTCCTTTCCCTCCACTTTCTGCCTGTCTTAATTATACCTGGAGCTCTGGTTGCATAGTGGTTAAAGCATTGGCCGCTAACCCAAAGTTGGGTTGTTCAAACCCATCAGCTCCTCTATGGGAGAAATATGAAGCAGTCAAGGGTCCCTATAAATCAGAATTGATTAAATGGCAGTGTTTTTTTTTTTTTTAACTAAAAAAGTGCACATATTTCTACGTCCATCTCAAGTATTACTTTGACCAAGAAATGTCTGATTCCCCAGAAGAATCAAACTTCCACTCCACTATTTTCCGACAGTATCTTCTTTTAGCCTTGCTATAATATTCAACTCATCGCTTCCTGTCTTTTGTTATTTGTGCCAATGGCTGTCTCTGCTTCCAAATGCAAAAGTCAAGGGTGTATCTGGTCATCTCTGGGATCTCAGTTCCCAGGAGAAGACTAAGCATGTAAGAGGCATTCAAAAGGTAGTTGTTGATTTCAACTGATTTGATCATTTTCTGGTTGACCCTTTTGCCCTTGTGGTGGAATTCATGGTCTTTGCTCCCTCCCACCATGTCCTCAGACTCCTCAGGTTTGGTTGGAGACAAAGTGCTCCTTTCAGAGAGTGTCTCCCACCCCCCACCCCCAAAGGCCTTGCCTCCTGCCTTCCCTTCGTTTTTTCTAGTGCCCATCATAATAGAAGTGCACCCTTCACCATGCTTTCCTAAGAATCACTTTATGGTCATAACTGAAAGGGCAAGTTGCTTTAATAAAGAGAATCCCTCAGTAAGAATCTAATAGGGTCATGCCCCTTCTGGGTATTTCTTTTTGTTTGCTTTGTATTCTGGAGATGGGGGGGGGGCTTACATTTCAACCTCTGTTTGCCTGATCACTAATCATTATCAATATGTTTTCTTCCCAAAAGGTAAAGAAGTTACCATTCAACTACTTCAAAACAGAAGCATGATTCTGTTTTCTAAAAGGGCTACATTCTCCAGAGAACTCAGGATTGATGAGGTCAGGCAGCCTTTGTCTTGGGGGCGAGGTACGATTGTTCAATAACTAGTTTGCAGTCGCACTGTGCTGTGTTACAGAAAGTGGGACCGTATTGCTGGAGCTGCAGATCCCACAATCGGAGTCTTAAATCTCAGTTCCAGACTTCACAGGACATTTCCAACAAAATTACAGTTACAATGCCACAGTTCAAGAGTCTATTGAAGTAGATGCGGTTTTATAATAATCATTTATTGTATTAAAATAGGCCCCCTCCCCAGTAGGAGAGTTGCGGGTTTCCTTACCCTCAGACAATGTTGCCTAAGAGTTTGACCCCACTTTTCTGAGGAGCCTCAAGAAAGGACCTTGTGACAATCTTAACATCTTAAATTGCTGCAGTCAGGACAGAGTTGTCTGAGCAGTGCCAGACACTCTTCAGGAAGGTCCCTCAGACCGTCTTGGGGTTAGGGAAGACTTCATTATACACTGCCAAGGTGGAAAGCACTGTGAGAATAAATAAGTGGAATTTGGCTAAGGTAATGCCCTATGGATATTCTTATCCACCATCTTCTCTCATTAACCATATGAGGAATGAACCTCATGCCTGAATTTCTGGTAACCTCCCACAGCAGCCCTAGAGGATGCTACAAGCACTAAAAAGAAAGTCTACTTCTATTCCTTTTTTCACTCACACTTCCTTTGGAAATACCAGACTCCAGCTTCTAGAAATTTGCTTTCCAGGAACTCCCTGCCTATTTTTACAGCATCCAGCATCTCTTGCTTTTCTACCGAAACCTACAGAAAAGTCACATAGCCACCTCTCTGGGAGCTCTGGTGGCGTAGTGCTTAAGGCATTTGACTGCTAACCAGAAGGCTGGCGGTTCAATCCCACCAGCCACTCCTTGGAAGGAAGATGGGGCAATCTACTTCAGTAGTGGTATGTGTTGGGAACCCAAGGAGGGGTCACTATGAGTCGGATTCGACTCCACAGTAGTGAGTTTGGTTTGGTTTTTGCTACACGGTAATGCAGGCCTTCAGTCTGACAGGCATCAAGATTGTTAAGGAGTGAGGGGGGAGGGGCAGCGGAGACATCCTCATTCCCAGCCACCTGTCTTCTCTGAGCTTTCAATTGCTTCTGGGCCCAGGTCACCTGCAGAGCGTAGATCAAAGCACGCAACCTCTCCAGGCACCTAGCCAGACCTCACCGAAACCAGGGAGCCCAGGGTCCCTCCCCCCGGGGCGCTCTTCTACCTGCTTGGTGAACACCCGAGTCCCTTTTTCCTTCAGGGGCAGCAGCCTGAAGAGGTCTCTCTGCAGAGGGCCCCACTCCCCATATCCACACCTCGTCCGGTCCCTCCTGCAGCGATTCCACTCCCCAGAAAATCTTTCTTCCTCTCTGCGGACAGGGTATTTTGCCTCCAGCGACGTCGGAACGCAGGGTCCAAGCAGAGTGGCGGTACCCCTGTTCCGGATGGTAAGAGATACCATAGCCGCATGGGAGATGCCTCTCCTCCGCCCCTTCTCCTTGGGTGAACCCAGAATGTCACCTTTCTCCCAACTCTAGAAAAGTTTCTTGCCTCCAAATTCTAAACTTCTGGCACAGCCGCGCAGCAAGTCTCGCTTTCGCGCCGCCGCAGTCCGGAGAGCTAAAGAGCAAAGAGGTTTGTGGGCTGTGCCCGGGCTGGGTGCGCCCTGAGGGCCCTCGCCAAGGGCTTCCTAAAATCTCGGCAGTACACGCGCTGAAACACCCGCAAGTCACTTGGCTGAGCTCCACACCTCGCGCCCCATTTATCTCCTTTCCTGACTCCTCTCTGCGCTTTTGGGCGCTCACACACTTCAACGCAGACAGATAAAGGAGAAGGTGGTGTGGCGGGACCCCTGAGGCTGGTTCTCTCCACCTGGCTTTGCATCTCTCCCACATGAGAACGGCCCCCTGGCAGTCTCACACCGGTTACCCTCTATCCTTGTCCCACATACCCTTGACCGAGGGTCCCAGCCAGTCTCCCTGATCCATCCTGCTCTTTTCCTGCTCCGGAAGCCACCTTGGCAGCGACTGCGTGCCCTCAGCCTCCGCGGTGTTAGTAGTCAGAACTGCTGGGCAGCAGGTCGCAGCGCCCCCCGCTGTAGACCACGACGCCTGGTGGGTAATAGACCAAGTCGGGCTCAGGGGTAGCGTGAAGCGGCGCCAGGGCCTGCAGCCCCTGCTCCTCCGGCTCGGGCTTGGTGGTGGCTGTGAAGGGGCGCATGCTGGTGAGCGAGGGCGAAGCGATGCGCCACAGCAGACTCTTGAGCGCCTTGCGGAACTCGCGGCGCACCAGACAGTAGAGGACCGGGTTGAGGCAGCTGTTGCAGTGAGCCAGGCACACGCTCAGGGGGTGCGCGTACTGGTGGAAGAGGAAATACTCGTTGCTGAAGGGCACGGCATCGAACTTGATGAGGATGCCCCAGGCGGTGACCATCTGGTTGGGCAACCAACACAGGAAGAAGGACAGGACCACGATGGTCACTGACTTAGTGACCTTGGACCGTCTCCGCGCGCTGGCTTCAGCCAGGCCTCTCCCGGGCGCTGCGGCCCCACCGTGGGCCTCCGCCGCGCGGCGGTCTGAGATGAAGCGCACAAGCAGCAGGTAGCACAGGCTGATGATGCCCAGTGGCAGCACGAAGCCCAGCAGCACCTTCTGTGTGTGGTAGAGGCCCAGCCAGAACTGCCCATCTCCCGGTCGCGGCTGGTCGGGGAAGCGCACCAGGCACAGCTCTTCGCCCAGCACCTTGGTCGTGGAGGCGAAGATGGCATTGGGCAGCGAGGCCAGGGTGGCCGAGGCCCAGATGAAGACGCACAGAGCTTTGGTCGAGAAGCAGCTGCTGTCCTCCAAGGTCCGGCTGCAGCAGCCGCCCCGGCCGTGCCCTCGGGTCCGGTGGCTCTTGAGAGCAGAGGCCACCGAGTAGTAGCGCGCCACGCTCATGGCAGTGAGGAAGAAGACGCTGGCATACATGTTTAGGGAAGACATGATGGACACAATCTTACACATGGCCTTGCCGAAGGGCCATTTGAAGTCTAGCGCGCTCTCCACTGCCCAAATCGGCAGAGTGAGCACGAACAGGAAATCGGTCAGCGCCAGGTTGGTGACAAAGAGATTGATGGAGGACTTGCGCCAGCCCTGCTTGCTCTTCATCAAGTAGAGCACCAGCAGGTTGCCCGCCAGCCCCACTGCGCAAACCACTGAGTAGACCACAATGATGAAGATACGCAGCCCTTCGCCGCTGCCCGCGCGGTCGGGTAATTCCAGCCCCAGATCCCACCACCAGTCCTTGAGCTGCAGCGACGCGTTGCCACTCGCATTGCCCGGCTCTAGAAGGTCAGGGATCAGAGTGAAGAAATCTGAGCGCTCACCTCCGCCAGTCGCCTCGTTCATGGTGACCACTGTGGCTGGTGGGCAGCAGCCTCTAGGTCATGTTCCGGGGACAAGACGTAAGGAGATCTGACTCGCCTAAGGTGCCGCTCCTGGGACGAGGGCGCAGGGCGTTGGAGCTCTGAAAGCAGTCACTGAAGATAGAGCCCAGGAACTGGGTTCCAAGCCGGCCCTGGGCGCGGGAGCGCAGAGAGCCGCGTTGCGCGCGGGAGTGGTGCTCAGGGTCTGCTAGGGAGAGGAGTGAGCTTGTAAAGCGAGCTGTGTCCGGGTCCAGGAGCTCTCAGGCCAAGTCCCTTTTGTAAGATGCAGACTCAGAACCCCCTTCGTTTCCCTCTGTCACTTGGGCACTAGTGCATAACCCACCCGACTGCTCAGGAGTATGATTCCGGCTCGCTCCTCCTCTAATCGAATACCTTTGTCGGTTTCTTCTGTTACTGCTTGAGCGAGGTTTCTGTCCTTTGAGAGAAAAAGAGAAGAGTGCGTTCTATCTAGCTCGGTCTGACTGCCTGGAGGTCGATGTCGCCCTCCCTCCCTTGAGTCTCTGTCTCTCCTTGGTTGTCAACTCCTGTGAGTTGGGAGTGTCACTCACTAGAGTTATATTTGCATCCGCGTTAGCGACAGCGGCGGGCTCCCAAGGAGCATGCGTGCCTACGGAGCGAACGGACTGGGGGCGCTTTCCGAGGTGCTGAACCCCTCCGCGCCCGCGGCAGGGGAGGGAGAGCAGGGCAGCAGGCAGAGCCCACCAGCCAACTTCCCGTTCTCTCTTCAGTTTCAGAAGGAAATGGTCGGGACTGTTTATTTTTTTAAGTTGCTAGAGAAAGTCTGCTTTGATTTCTGTCTCCACTTCCTTTCTCGTTCCCAAAATTATGATTCTAAACCAAACACCCTGCCCTTGAGTCGGGTCCCACTCATAGCGATCCCTCCTTGGGTTTCGGAGGCTGTGTCTATGGAAGCAGATTGCCCAACCTTCCTTCCGAGGAGTGGCTGGTGGGTTTGAGCCCCCCGCCCTCTGGTTAGCAGTCAAGTGCCTTAGGCACTATGCTACCAGAGCTTTTTCTCCCCCCCCCCGCTTCTTCCTCACTCCCAAGTTTTCTTTGAAATAGGGTTCATTTGATGAAAGATAGTTCTGAAATTATGCGATCTCCTCTTAATTTATTTTTTTTCTTTTTCAACAGCAACAATAGTAGCATCTTTTCAGTTGCCAGGCCCTAGGTTAGATGGTAGATGCTTAATGAATATACAAACACAAGCTCCACTCCCTCTTAGCTAACCAGCCCAGCTCTCCATCTGGTACCTGTCAAGTTGTTAGGGGCCTCCACCTGACAGAACTCTGCGTTTCGTTGTTGCCCCTGCTTCGGTGTGTTCTGAGAAGTGAAGCTTATCAGGGCTGAGCAGACCTCATGCAACACCACTCCTCTAGCCCAAGCTGGCAACAAATTGTTTACCCACATGCATCCTTCAGTCTTTACCTTGGTGCTGATGGATGCTTTTGGACAGTACCTCCTACTGTTGTTATGATCCAAACTGTTACCAGGTGTTTCTTAGACAAATGGAAGTCAAGTCTAAGGAATCATTTAACTTCCTTCCAGGGAACAGAACCAGGGACAACTTCTCAAGTTGCAGGTTATTGAATGGCAGATCAACTTCTCGGGTGTAAATTACACTTTGTAGGAGGGACTTAAGAAATTTGAAATGCTATCCTCATTTCATTTATTCTGCGACTAAACTGAAGCCGAAGTGTCTTAAGCGTATTTGTCCTCAGACCTGGGGTAAATGCAGACCTCGCAGCTTTATTTATGGAGATAAAAAGGCTGCAACTTTAAATCAGGGGATATAGAAAACTCTTGGTAAAAAAAGGAAAAATGGTACCCGAAACATATACAGGGAAATGGAAGCAATATTTTTTTCCAAAGAGGTATTTCAATATAGACGCTGGGTTGCCAAGTTTTCCCGCTAGAGGGCACTAGGACTTTAGTAAAACCAAAACCAAACTCCTACCAGTTCTCTGGAGATGCTCAGGTCTGCCTTGAAATTCCTGCCAATGCTGCAGGTTGTTTCTATGGACACTTCTCATGCCTATTTTAGTAACCTCATTTTTCATGTTTAGTTTTTACGAGTTCCTTCTCCATCAAATTTTTATATCTTTATTTGGAACCTTGGTAGCACAGTGGTTAAGTACATGGCTGCTAAGCAAAAGATTGGCAGTTTGAAACCACCATCCACTCTGCAGGAGAAAGATGTGGCAGTCTGCTGATTACGGTCTTGGAAACCCTATAGGGAAGTTCTACTCTGTCCTATAGCGTCACTATGAGTTGGAATGGACTCTATGGCAATGGGCTCATGGATTCATGTCTTTAGATATTTCAAGGGGCTGTTGAAAAGCACAGAAGCCTACAGCATACCCTGAAAGTCCTCTGTGGTTAGGTTTGTGGTATGTCCACACTGCACACATACAGGTTCATTTGTGTCAGTGCTTCTAAAGTCCACCCAGGAACACATCTACTTGATCATATTCATTTTATTTGGAACTATGGCAGGAGATTGATTCAACTTATTACCCATCCCACATCCATTGACTGCTTATTCTTTGCCAGGCACTGTGCTGGGCTGAAAAAACATACCAGGAAATAAGTCTTTTATTTCTGTCCTCTGCAGAACTCTTCATCAAGATGAGTGTGTGATTTACTAGTGTCTCTGCCTACCTTTTTTGCTTAGTCTTGTGCATAACTAGCTTATCTAGGATATAATAATCTGAGCCAAGTGCATGGGCAATAATTTTAGCTCTGTTGTTATTTTCCTTTTATTATTTAAGGGGCAGGCAGGTAATGAGCAGTTATACATTGATATACTGCTCCATTTTTATTTATTTATTTACTTATATTGTGATTTGGGTAAATGTTTACAGAGCAAATTCACTTTCCATACAGCAGTTCACATGCACGTTGTCTCATGATATTGACTACAATTTACCCCAATGCAACAGCTCCCTTCCCACTTCCTCCCAATAGTTACCTCTTCCCTGTGTCCATCCCTCCATGCACTCCTGTCCCCTGAGCTGTCTCCCTGTGCATAAACAGCCCCTCTTTCTCCCATGATTGTTCCCTCCAAGGAGTGTATCTTCCTCAAGTAAATGTTCAACTCCTATGCCTGTCTTTTGTTTGGCTAGAAGCCACAGATGTGGGTCCAATTCCAGACCTGAAGGGCCACTAGGGACCGCAGTCTCAGTAGTTCCACCAGGCTCTATCAGACCAGCAAACCTGGTCTTCCCCCCTTTATTTTTCCCAAATGATTTTGAATTTTGTTCCACATTGTTCTCCCTCTTTGTCCAGGATCTTCTACATAGATCCCACTCCAAGTGGATGACAGTGGTAGCCAGCCACCATATAGTTCTTCTTGTCTCATAGTCGTATAGGCTGAGGATCGCATAGTGTACCAGTTGTGAGGACTAATTGTTTCCATGAATCGTTGGTTTTCTTCATTCTTCTTTGCTCTGAATGAGGAGAGACCCATCATTGCATCTAGATGGCTGCTTGCAAGCTTTTAAGATCCCAGTCACTACTTGCCAAAGTAGGAGGTGGAACAATGTTTTGTGTAGTATGCTATGCCAGTTGAGTTTGATGTCTGAGGGTGCAGTTTTAATCTTCACTAAGGAGATGAAATTTGAACCAAGTCTTTTTTTTTTACCTACTAGAATGCTATTTTTATTTTTATTTTAAGAGCTTGTTTTACATTCAACATCACGTGTACATTTCGTTTCATTCCCCATTCGCCACGTCCAACCCAAACCAGTCTCCTCCCCTCCCTATCCTGCAACCCTTGCTCTGTGCCCCTCATAATTATGCACTCCTGTTTGACCTGCATTTTCTCAGTTTGAATGTTGGTGCTCTGGTGTCCCGTGGTCTATTGCTCTAAGGGATGTATTACTATTGAGTGTGTGGGTGTGGCATCCTGAGTTGAGTGGTCTGCGTCTACATCTTGTTAACTATTTGGCTGAGAGCCCACCACTAGGGGTGAGTTTTATTCCAGATGCTGAATGTATTTCAGAGCCATAGTATTGGGAGTCTCACCAGATGTCATCTGACCAGTAATTCTGGTCATTATTGTACTGCTCCATTTTTAGATTTTTGTTGTTGCTGTTATTCCAAGGCTACTCTATTTATGTTTGTATTTACATAATCTATAAAGTAGGAAGGACACAGAGCTAGTTATATGACATATACAACTTGTGTCTGTCTCCCCTCCACCTTCACCCCCAATGCTGCCCCATCAGTTGAGATCAAACTGTTATGTGGGCCTAGAGAAAAGTCCCATTAGCAATAAGAAGACTTTTCTCCTTTAAAGTGGCAGGATATGGTAACTTAAAACCTTCTCAAGGGCTAATTTTGTCTCCCTGAAGCCACATAGCTCGTGTAAAAGCATATCCTGGAATATAACTATGTTTGTTTTGTTGTTGTTGGGCGCTGTTGAGTAGATTTTCAACTCACAGTGATGCATGTGACAGAGTCAAACTCCCCCATAGGGTTTCTTTTTTCTTTTTCTTTTTTACATTTTTTATTGTGATTTGGGTGAAGGTTTACAAAGCAGATCCATTTTACATCCAACAAATCATACACATTTTGTTTTGCGGACACTGATTACAATCCCCACAATGTAATAGCTCTTCTCCCACCTCCTTTCTGTGGTCCAATAGGCTATAATCTTTACACAAGCAGATCAACAAGTCTTTCTTCCATGGAGCTGCTGGATGGATTTGAACTGCCAACCTTTCAGTCAGTAGCTGAGTGGTTAAGCATTGCACCACCAGGATTCCTTCACCCCAGATTTACCTTTGGCATTTTGCAGAGGAGGCCTGAAGAGTGAAGGGATTTACCCATAGCCTTTCAGCTGAGAACTCACCACATCAGGACTAAAACATAGTCTTTTGATTTCCATATTATGTCTCTTGGTCCATGCTTCATTTCCCTACTTAAGTCCAACTCTTCCACATCCTGATTTTTCACCAA